CGTGATCAATCCGGTTGAGATGGGCCGCGGCCCTTCCCCAAGCGGAAGTTAATTGAAGATTAATCCATCCCGTTCAACGGACCGTCTCTTGTGTGGACAGCGATAATTGCCAGCAAGTATATGTAGTAAATTGCTATACAAATAAAAATACTGAACGGTAAATGCTTTGCTATAAGGTGAGAAATACACCAGTATGTAGGTGCAGCTTACATGTACCATGACGTTCGTTTGCCTGCAAACCTGAGTGCACAGACCGAAGCACGTAACAAAAGCCACAAACGAATAAAGAAAAACGAGCGGTTTGACAAGCGAACAACCAAAGGAAGGGCAAAAACTCAGCGAAAAAAAAACGCAATCACTGTTGAAGTAGAAAAGCAAGCCTATACGCAAGAACAACAACCAAATAACGGAAAAACGGAAAGAGCAACTAAATACCAAATAGAGAAACACAGAAACATGAACCAAAGATACAAATACTAAAAGAAATGAAGCCACCAATCTAGCCAAATACAAAATACCAAACGAAGGAAATAATGCCGACAACATGTCAAAGGGAAAAAACACATAGGAACGCTGCAAAGAGAGAAAAAACGGGCGAACCAGCCCACCCCGCTTTCAGGCAACCAACCAGAGAGAGGACAGACGGAAACCACCAAAGGGTTCAACATGGACCAAGAACGACGATCACCAAGCAAGGCCACAGAACATAAACATCGACACCAGAAAGACACGTAAAAGGCGGATTCACGTAGGCGAAAGAGCAGCACTGAGTAAGCATGAAGAAGAACCAAAAGCCCAGGTACCGACTCAAAATAAAAAAAAAAGAGCGGCGAACAAAAACACACTGAACAAGAAACAAAAAGCAGAAAAACACAAAACACCATGCACATACCTGAACAAACAACACCAACACGAACGCCAACAGTAAGCGGGAAGAAAAGCGAGACCACAACAGAAAAAAAGATGGCAGTTGAACCAACAAAACGAGCGAGTAGAATACAGCAAAGCCACCCAACCTCCAAAACAAAACAAAACTCAAAATCAAAAATCAAGACCGACGAGGCAAAGGTCAAAGCATATCACAAGCAGTGCAAAACTGCACCAGCCTCGAAAACGAAAGAAGCACCCAACAACGCACAATAAGACAACTAGCGGTAGAGAAAGCGAATCCCTCCAACTACCCAACACAAAAATCAAAGAACACTAAGGACAATAGTAAACCACTGCTCCACCAAAAAAACACAATAATACAAATAAAAACCAAAGCAGGACCGGCGCACAAGAAAGCACGAACCAAAACCGGAAAGAAGACTGGAAAAAACAACGATAGAACATACTACGCCCAACATACCAGTACAACCCTCAAGAAAACAAAAAAAGCATACAGCAAAACCAACGTCATGGTACATGTAAGCTGCACCTACATACTGGTGTATTTCTCACCTTATAGCAAAACATTTACCGTTCAGTATTTTTATTTGTATAGCAATTTACTACATATACTTGCTGGCAATTATCGCTGTCCACACAAGAGACGGTCCGTTGAACGGGATGGATTAATCTTCAATTAACTTCCGCTTGGGGAAGGGCCGCGGCCCATCTCAACCGGATTGATCACGGCGCAGCAATATTGCAGCTTCCTTACCTACAGTGGTTCTATGCCTGAGGGTCCAATACTGTAGCGTACAGCCTGTACGTACTTGCGTGTGCTGGTACATGTCCTTGTACTTGGCACGCTGTTCCCTCCCCGTAGGAAGGGACACATTTCAGAGACCTGCAACAAATACTAAGCAGTGCTTAGTGCGTGCTTAGTAAGCACGCTCCTTGATCTGAGCAATGTGTGGCAGCATAGATCGAGGTTGCCCAGAACTCACGCAGCCACAGAGACAAAGTCGCGTCTGAGCTGAGCGGATCCTCTCAGCAGTCGCTCTTGATCATTAACTACGTCGGCACCAAACCAGGCCTGACCAAGTTGCTCACTTTTCCTTTTGCCTTCCTTCAACAACAAGATCCATTCCAAGAGGATCAAGACAGCCATGCTCAAGTCGTGGTTTGCAGCAGTACTGTGCACGGCCTTGGGTCTCGCCGCACAACAAGGAACTCCTCTCGTCTCCGCTGACCAGTGGGATGAACGCGCCGACGCCATCGTGGCCACCTTCACCGACGACGACATTATCGGCCAGATGACCCAGATTGACATCAACCAGCTCCTCACGGAAGATAACAAGGTCGACGACGACAAGGTGCGCGCGTACGCCAAGATGCGCGTGGGCTCGTACCTCACAAGTCCCTTCAACAATGGACCCGTGAACGGCACGTACATGTGGACGGCCGACGAGTGGCGTGAGGTGATCACGAGGATCCAGGAGATCACGATGGAGGAGAACGGCGGTCACCCGATGGTGTACGGCGTGGACTCCGTGCACGGCGCCATCTTCGTGAAGGACGCGGTGCTGTTCGGCCAGCAGATTAATGGCGGTGCGTCGTTCAACCCGGACCTCGTCTACGAGCAGGGTCGTATCACCGGCCGTGACACGGAAGCATCGGGCGTGCCATGGGTGTTTGGCCCCATTCTCGGCATCTCGCGCAACCCACTCTGGGCGCGTACGTTCGAGACGTTCAGCGAGGACCCGCACATCAACTCCGTCATGGGCGACGCTATTATCCGTGGATTGCAGAGTAATAACCACACCGCAGCGTGCATGAAGCACTGGATCGTTTACCCAAAGACCCCCTCTGGCCATGACAAGGACGCTGTGACTGTGTCGGACTACGACATGATGAACTACTTCTTCCCGCCCTTCAAGGCTGCGGTGGACGCTGGCGTGATCAGCGCCATGGAGAACTACATCTCCATCAACGGCGTGCCAACCGTGTCGAACGCCAAGCTCATGAACGCGCTGCTACGCGACGACTTGGGCTTCGACGGCATGATGGTGACGGACTACGCCGAGATCAACCAGCTCACAGACTTCCACCGCACCGCGCGCAACGAGACCGAGGCCACGCGTATCTCGCTCACGCGCGCGTCCGTGGATATGAGCATGGTGGCGCAGGACACGAGCTTCTACAATGGCACGAAGGCGCTGCTGGAGCAGAGTCCGCAGTTCCGCGAGCGCCTCCGAGAATCGGCCCGTCGTGTGGTCAAGATGAAGTTGAAGCTCGGTCTGTACGAGACACCGGTGCCCGGTGAGGAGAACCTCGCACTCATTGGTAACGACGACGACATCTCGGCGGCTCTGGAGCTGGCGCGCGAGTCCATCGTGCTGCTACAGAACAACGACAGCACGCTGCCGATCAAGGAGGACGCGTCCGTGTTCCTGACGGGCTTCACCGCCGACAACATCGGCCGCATGTGCGGCGGATGGACGATCGCCTGGCAGGGCTACAGTGACCAGGACCACCTGCTGACGAAGGGTATTACAGTCAAGTCCGCCATGGAAACGCTCGTCGGCAACGACAGCTTCAGCTTCTTCAACGGCTTGCACCCGAACGGCTCGTACACCGAGGCCGACCTGGCCACGGCCAAGGAGTTGGCCAGCAAGGCCGAGTACACCATCGCCGTGATTGGCGAGGACACGTACGCCGAGAAGCCGGGTGACATCGACGATTTGGCGTTGCCCGCCGGCCAGATCGAGTACGTGAAGGAGCTGGCGTCGACGGGAACTAAGGTGATCTTGGTGCTGTTCGAGGGCCGCCCGCGTCTGCTTGGAGACCTGCCCGAGAACGTGCACGCCGTCGTGAACGGTTTGTTGGCATGTGAACTCGGTGGCCAGGCCATGGCCGAGATCATCTACGGCAAGGTGAACCCCAGTGGCCGCATGCCGATCACGTACCCGAAGGACCAAGCTAACATCCAGATGACGTACAACCACCCCGTGACGAGCATGTGCCAGACGCAAGAGTCCGACGGCGCTTACTACTGCGAGAACCAGTGGGATTTCGGCGCAGGTCTCAGCTACACCGAGTTCACCTACTCCGAGGTGCGTCTAAGCCGCAATGTCGTCACGTCTTCGGCGGAGGACGTCGTGGTATCCGTGGACGTGACGAACTCTGGAAGCGTGGCCGGCAAGGAGACCGTCATGCTCTTCCTCATCCAGCCGTACAACTCGCTGAACGTGCCGGAGATGAAGCAGCTCAAGAAGTTCTCCAAGATCAGTCTCGAACCCGGTCAGACGCAGAACGTCAACTTCACACTCACGGCCGACGACTGGAGCGTGTACTACCCGCAGGTGGGCCACGGCCTCAAGAAGGTGGCCGAGGACTGCGACTACGTGGTGGCCATCAAACCCGAGACGGACTGCGACGTGTACAACGAGACGGCCGTGGCCAACCCGCTCTGTGCCACCTTCTCACTCAACACGGGCGAGTATCCGTTCGGCACGTTTGAGGAACCGTGGTAAGCCGGAAGAGTTCTACACTAGACTGGCACAGTGACTACGTTGCTCATTCACCACGACCACCATCGTATGTGTAGGTAGTCAGCCCAGTTTTGATAATACTAATTGGACATGTCATGTGAGTGGTTTAGCGCCTTGCTACAACTTGTTGATCTGAGGGGGCCGAAGCGAATGTCTTGATTGGTTAACCGCATTGTACCAGTTCAGACCAAGTAAGTTCCGAGGCGTTTACTCGCCGAAGTAGTTTGAGGCTACTGGTATATTCGTTGTGTTCACCCACTACGTCCACAGGGAGAAGTACAGCTTGCTGCGGTCGCCAACGTGACTGATAGTATGCCAATTCAGTAGAACGACTAGTGTCAACCAAGATACTCAGATACACCAACGGATCACTTAAGAATACAATATTCATGAACGCCACAGTCGCCTCGACAGCGTCCGAGCGTCTGTGAACGCACTGAAGGTGATGCTGGATGAAGCGCCGAGAGTTTACACGCTTTTGTACTGACCAACCGCGCGTCGTATTGAGAGTCTCCCGCTCTTCAGTCAGTGGCCTGCGTGAATGAAAACTGGAGGCAATAGGGACCACAACTCTATCGAATCGACTATATCGTGGCAACTGGAATCTAACCGGAAAGTTCCCTTCCACTTTCAACTTATTCAGTCTTTGTTGTTGCTTACTTTGGATGCAGAAGTAAATACGAAGCCAATACACGCACACGCTTGCACTAGGCCACATTACGCCTGCTGAGTATGGTACAGGTGTTGGTGTAAGTAAAAACCAATGCAGTGTCTGGAGTTTGGCTGACTTTCGCTTCAAGCTCCAGTAATTCAGCACAATCTCACGAATGACCACAATAGCGATCACGAAACAAACGAGAAACTTGAGATCGATGAGTACACCACCAAACAGCAAGTTACCGCGCCCTCGGTGAGCAAAGTTGTACTGATATCTAGCAGCTTGCCACGCGCGACCCAAGTTGCTCGGGAGCTCCATAACTCGTACAATGTTTGACGAACGAAACGATGTTGAGCGATATTGTGCTGCTAACGTCATACTTGATAATGTACTCAAGAAAAATGCTGGAACTCCAATGATTCCACTGCAAGTTTTCAGGTTATTTCGACTTGACCAACTTGACGTCGAAAGAGTAACTATTAGTTGCCATATGAATGCGTAAACCCACACAGTTCGCATCTGTACGACCGCGTACGAAATAAAAGATTGCAGCTGAATATTCAAAATTCCATCTTGGGTAGAATATCGGCTCTTGAACACTTCGTATATGAACGAAGCATCCAGTAAGTGAGCAAGCGCATAGCATAAAACAGGAAAGGGGCTTCCATAGACAACACATTGCTTCGGAACTCTCATAAATAGACGCCATGCCTTACGTACACGCGTCCAGTTCAACAGGTTACTATCCGATTTTGAGATATCTTGACCAAAGTAGCAGCTCAGCAGCAATCCGACTCCACGGAGTATGAAGTAGATTTGTCCGACAATTCGGAGCGTTGCTATCAATTGATACCACTCGACGACATCCGAGACCAGGAAGCCCGCTCCATAGCGATAGTCACTTACATACACTGTTTCGCACGTATCATAACTATCACTGGTATTGCAATCCCGAGCTCGGATGATAGTACTAACGTCTGACCTTCGGTATCCAACTGAGCTCAGTCCACCTCGACTTATCTGCAAATCTTCTTGGCTCTCCAAAAATGTCAAATCTATGCTGCAGTTAGAAAAACGAGTTTGTACGTCCAGAAGACGCTGCATCGTATGCACATAAAGCAACCCAACGCTTCTTCGCTTAAGGTCAGTTGGTGCAGCTGTTCGTTGAAAATTGATCCAGAGTTCGTGACAGAATCGTGGTATTTGTGCATTATGCTGGCCAGGAAAGCAGATACTGTTAACTTGCATCTTCCCCAGAAGTTCTGGTGAATAGTAGAGAGCTTGACTCATCCGCCAATTAATACTAGTAAACCATCGTGGGAGTAAAAATTGGTGGAACCGATCGATGTACTCACTTTCTGAGCGTAGCGTTAATCCCACAGGTGCTTCATGGCTATTGTTTCTTACGGCTGCGACTGTATTGACCACAGAATCGATCATTTTAAATGCCACATTACCACCGAAAGTCTTGTTCGGACATTGACTGGTGTAGAAAAAACATTGAGGAAAATTTGGTACGGCCAGGAAGCTACCAAATGCACGCCATACGATGGAAGTTGAGTCGAATTTGTAGCTCCATACCCTGGCTGCCGTACGACCACTGTCAGCGTCAGCTTTGGTAGATGCAAACACAGAGTAATTCCAAGCTGTACCGAATGCTAACATTTCATCTGGCTGAAGTGAGGGGTAACTGCCATTCGGATTTGAAATCCCTGTACCTGAGCGAGGCACATCCGAGAAAACCAAGACGAGTGATATCATTCCGATACAAAAACGAAACCAGGAGAACGGAAGATGACGATCGAAAATTCTTTCTCGAGCAGCTATTTGTCGTGCATGTGTGTTTTTAACGAGAGTAGATGGCGATGTAGCCCTCTTCTGTCCATTTTTCTTCACGTGTCGTGAAGCCCACTTCGTCAAGACCAGGAGTGCAGCAGTATCATTACCGCGCGCCGGTGCCACCCGGATTCGGGGCATAACTAGGAGAGGTAGAGACACCTAGCAGTTCCTGTACGTATGCGTGGAAAGATGGCAACTAGCACAAAATAAATTCTGGAATAGGATAATTATGGAACTGTTATCAGCTCAGTTCGTTTGTCGGATAGGCCTATATTGAGCGACAGTACTTGGTTTCTTCCTGTAACCGGAAAATTAAGATTGGGAACGCACTACATCCTGCAGTGCCAATGATTTGATCGTACGAGTGGATGCATACCTCCAGTGTCTACTGCTTCGCTCCAGCGGGATTGTAGTGCACATCCTTATTATAAACGTTACCTTTAAATACCTGCGACAAGGACCGACTAACAGCAATTGATTGCAGTGTGATACTATACGTTCTACTACAAGAGGAAACAGCTATCTCAGCCAACACGACACTGTTTAGGAAAATATACTCTAATAATGTGTAGATCAGCACTCACACCCTTAAAAGATCTATTCTTGTTGAGTTGGTTGCTGCTTGAGAGGAACTTGGTAAAATGAGAAGTGAGTAAAATTGAGTGTTATGCAAAAGCCTCTGAGCAACTGCCTCCTACACGACCTACACGTCCTATGCGCCCTGTACGCAGCCCTTGAGCTCCAGTGCCTGACCTTGAAGCTGAACTTGACATGATGGCGCGGTGTCCTGTGGCATAGCAGTGATGACGCGTGCCAAGTTGAATGTGCCGTATCATTCTGAGCAAAGTGTCGATTCCAACAATTCTGTCGACAAACTTTAGTGGTGCTGATGGTCGTGCAATCGAAAATGTTGAGTCGGTATTCACAATACCAAACATCAAACAATCAAATTCTTAGACAAAATCCCATCGTGAGATACACATACTATAGTTCGACGTCTGCGTGTACGTACAAAAGAAATAACTTGTGTGCTAGATCTTTTATGTGTGTTACTCTGAAGTGCTAGTATCGCGAATTACGACTAAACTAACGCATGCTTGGCTGGTCCATAATATGAGCTGGAATTACCGTTTGATTCAATTGACTTATCTTGACTATAGAGGAAAACCAGGGACGGATTTCAGTTCGTGGCACCCTGACAAATCTGAGGTCACTTCGAAAAATCGTCAACCGGGAAACAGCACTCATTAAAAGGTTTCATAACCCTCAAGCTCCAACGATGCGCCTGGCCCTGTTGTTGGCATTGCTTGCGACTTTGACTCCCTTCCTGGTGAGTTGTCAGGCTGGTTCAGTCGACACAGATCAGTAGAGCCCATTTTACACAAAGTTGATACATGTATCACGCAACGTTGTTGCAGACAACTCCAAACATGAAACGCGGTTTCTGAAAGAAGAAAGCAAGATACTGAAGAAAACGACGACAAGAGAAGTATCATCCAGAAGATCTTGTCGAAGCTCAGAGAAATCAAAGAGACGTTTTACGCATTCCGGGGAAAACAGCTGATGCCAAGATTTAAGAAGTTGGCTCGGGAGGAAAAAAATTGCTAGTAATGATTTTCAGACAGGCTTGTACGGGACGACGTCGTGGTCAACGGGTTTTGAAAAATTCGCGAAGTTGTACAGAGCGTGGTGTAAGATGAATGGTTACTCGCATCTAACAAACTGAGAATATGGAATTTAGACACTTTGAGCACGATGAAGTTTGTTTTAGAACGTGGAGTGTAATTTAACTGTCAGAAAGTTAACGAGCGTGGTGAAGAGCGCAGAGCAAAATCGGCCCGGAAACGACCATAAAGACGCTCAATAGGGGGACTCAATCCTAGCCGTTTCGCCCAAATCAGTCAGTCGGTTTTCCCGCTCTAAACAAGTCGTTTTTGACCCGCAAAACAAGCCAAAACGAAGAGGGGGACTCAAAGCGCGCCTCTTGAGCGTGCCCTCAGTATGGATTTTCTTCTCTAAGTTAGAGATTCCTGTCGATAGAGCATGCTGGAAATCAGTGAGCGCCAGCGCTTGCTTGGCGAGATTGTCGACGTCCTGGCCGTGGCGATCCTCGAAGAGGAAGCAGAAGAGGAGCTGCGTGAACTGTGTCATAGCAAAATTTGCTGGCAAGATGACACAGTCGTTCGGTACCGAAGACCTTCCGTCATCAGCCCAAGATCTCGCTTCTTTGCTCGTCTTGGTGGAGTCTCGACGCGATGTGGAAGGTCAAGATCGCCTCCCGAAGAGCACTGAGTTTCGTGAAAGCGGCATCCAGTCGCTCACGGCAAAAGAATTTCGTCTGATCACGCGGGTGAGCCATTTCGACTTCTTTCGTATCATATCAGAAATTGAAACGAATGAATTTTTCCAGAACAATTCTGGTTGCGGAGAAGCCCCCGTTTGGTTGCAGCTGGTAGTTGCATTGAATCGCTTAGGAAACTACGGTAATGGTGTCTCGCTCGGTAGAACACAAAAGCTTTGGGGGATCGGCCAAGGGACCTGCGCTCTCTATACGACTCGGGTTCTTCTTGCTTTGAAATATCTCGCCACCAAGTTTGTGGTGTGGCCAGATGCCGAAGAGCGACGATCAATATCGCGTCGTATGGAGCAAAGAGGTTTTCGTGGGTGTGTAGGCTTCATCGCTGGTACAACCATTCCTCTTTCCCAAATACCAGCGGTTAATGGCGAGTGTTACTTTGACCGGAAGCATCACTATAGGTATCACGAAAGGTGATACGACAGGCAACGTTTCGGGTCAGAATTCGGAGCGGAGCGACGAATCCAGTACGGAAGGTGGTTTGCGACGATCGCCGTCGTATTATTGTATTTTATTCTGGTTGGCCAGGTTCCTGGTCTGATAGCACTGCTTACCGTGAAATGGCCATCGATAATGCTTCCAGAAAACCACCTTTTCTTCTCGCAAGATGAATTTCTCATAGCCGATTCTGCGTATCCTGCTGATGTAGTGAGCAAGACACTTGTCCCTGCGTACAAGTCCAACATGAAAGGAGCCGACATCGAAGATATCAACAATTGCGTTGCCCATGCTAGAGTAGTAAATGAGCTGTACTGAAAGGGAGATGGAGCTCTTTGAAGGAGCTTCGTATTCAGATACGTAAGCCGACAGATATGGAGAGAGTTAACCTCTGGCTCCCTGGGTGTGTGGTCTTGCACAACATGTTGATTGCTTTCGGGGATGAACGGACCGAAGAATACCAAAACGATTCAGATAGCGACTCAGACGATAACGAAGACCAGTCAGAGCTTGCAAACGATAACGACGAGTTTGTATTCCGGAAAGGGCTGAAACAGCGGGCTATTTCAAAAGCGTGTGAGCCAGGTGGAAAATTGTGGCTGGGAGGACGTAGTTGAAATACCTAAAATAAACACAGCAACAGCCTGCACAGTCGACGCAAGCTCGAGGTTCGACTACTCAGCTAGCTTCATGAACATGGTAATCTCCTCCGGCCTTTTCTGCTGTCGGATCAGCTCTATAAGGAGCTCCTGTTTGCGGGCCGTACGGCGCTCCTGCAAGTCATCAAGCATCTGCAGCTTCAATATAGCATGATTTTCATTCCACTGGCGTTTTTCTTCCTCGAGTATAGCTTCCAGGAACTCAATCTTCGTCTCTGCGTTGTGTGCAAAAGCTTGAGCGAGAGACATTCGAGTTTCATGAGCAGAGTAGTGTGATGGCTTGCTGTCACGTGGTTGCACTGGTTCCTTTACAGGTAGCGGGGCATTTGCGTTCGTGGTTAGCATTGTTTTTTTTGGGGTGGATTCCTCCCCTTGCTCGTTTTTGCTCGCTTCGACGACTTCGTAGGCACGGGATCAGCAAGTTGCTTGCGTTGAGGTGTGTTGAATGCGGATTCGCACGCTTGCACAAGAGGATTCGGTGGAAATGCGTCCTGCGTCTAAGAAACTGATAGTGATGTCGGTGTACCGGGAGGAAACTGGGGTCTGACCAGGCAGCAGTGGGTACATCTTCCTCTGTATTATCACCATCGTCACTTTTCTCAGAGGTATTGCTGCGGTCGCTGGTTGTGCATGTTGGAGGGCTCACGCTGTCAGCTTCAAACGAATGGGCGAGTTCCGACACTTGCTCCGATGTTACTGTATTAGCGTACCCTTTAGTATTTGTGACGTACCCATTAGCCCCTAGCTCTACCGTATCGTGGGGTTTCATATTGGAGCGCTCACCAAAACGAACACACATTCGAATGTAGCATGGACACATCTTCTCCAGCTTAGCCAGAAAAAAGTGAACATCCGTTTTTTTATTCTCAACTTTTAGAGCTGCTGTTAACACTATTGCACTTCATGCTGTAGCAGTAGCCATCCTAAGACTATCTAAAGCCTTCACACACCTTTAGTACTTCGTGTGGCCACCTCAATTGTCTTTAACTTGAAGTATGCGCTTCGGCATGGAGTGGTAGAGATCTTTAACGGTTTTCGGCTCGATATCGTACCAAATCTCCTGAATTTTCTCTTTCAGATCGTCTACACTTGATGCAGGATGCTTGGACGGCTCTTGCTTCACGAGAGCCCAGAGATTCTCAATTGGGTTGAGATCTGGGCTCTGGGCTGGATGGGGTAGAAGCTCCACTTTTTTCTTCTTTCAGGTAGTTTTTGACTAGACGAGCACGATGGCCGGAAGCGCCATCCTGTACGAGCTTGTAGTCGTCGCCAATGCCAAGCACAGAGACCGTCGCTTGCAGATTTTGCTCCAAAATGCTCTTGTAGTACGCACCACTAATATTTGAGTCACACATGTGAAGTGCACCCACACCCTCGTAGGTGATACATCCCCAAACTATCAAGGTCTCCCTCACAGACTTAAATGTAGGTGCTAGACATTCGTTCTTGAGCTCCTCCCCAACCTTACGCCAAACGAAAACCCTCCCCACAGCCCTAGAGAGACAGAGAGACAGACGACTCATCACAGAACACTACCTTCTTCCAGTCATCGTCCTTCAACTTCAACATTTGTAGTGCATACGCATATCGCGCTTTAAATTTTTTCTTGCTCGAAAAGGTTTTTTTTTCGAGCTGCACGACCGTTAAAGCCTTCATCTTTAATGCGGTTCGCACTGTTTGCTTTGAGAAAGCGATGCCGTGGCTATTTTCGACCATACTGACCAGCTATTCAGCGGTAAGGCGTCGATTTTTGTTCGCTTCCCTCACGATCTGGCGGTCCTGGCGGACAGTCGTCTTCCGAGGGCGTCCAGAACGTAGTAGGGAGTGCGTGTGGCCGTTTTTCTTTGCGTTGGAAACAATAGTTTTGATGCTATAGACTGGGAGCTTGAGTTCATCAGCGAAAGCCTGATAGGTTTGGCTGCCGTGGCGTTTTGCGACGCAGAGGTCGCGGATCTGCCTCGAATGCTCCACTCTAGGTCAATTAAAAAACTGTTAGTACTGCGGCAATAAGGGTGTCTGGGTTTTAGGACTCTTACCTTGTGCCAGTCATGATAAAAACCAGAATGAGTGGCTTGGGCGTTGACTTTTTTGTCCCCTATTTTCCCTACTGAGGGACTCAACGTCCGATAACTTGCGATGCAAATATCGTCTCGTCAAAGTGAAAATAGCTTCTGATTCGTTCCAGTCTGCTCTATTCGATGATATTTTGCTTTGATTGGCTGGATCTATGCACTACTCAAAAATTCATGATTTGATCTCGCCAGCGTTTTGCACGTAGACTTTCTGGACCCACCAAGCATTCCGAAAATACGATATAGATTTATTGCAGCTTGGAAAGAAATATAAGTATTTGCGCGCACACACGAAGAAGAGAAAATAAATACCAGGAAACAAAGCAGTAGCAAAGTAAACTATTGCAACCATGCTAGTCACCAGTAGCTTTCTTAAAGGCACTGCTTCACAGTTGTCACATCCCAACGAGAGCTGTTCACCTTCAAGAACAGATTCACCTCCAGCATAATAGGAGACAGCCGGTGACGCTCGTGACGCAGAACTGCACGTGCCATACTGAACAATTGCTCTACAATGTTGGAAGTCGGCGGAATCGCCCCCAACAGCACGTAGGTCGCTGGGGCAGCAGGAACTTTGCGGCGCTTGAGAATTCGCTCGGCGAATCCTTCCTTGGTCACCGCAGCACGCTCACTCACCGAGGCCATACTAGCTCGGCGCTTGAACGACTTTAACGTGGCAGTTTCGGCATCAGTGAGTAGGGCAGCGTGGCCTGTTAAAACTTTTACCACAGCCTTCTCAAAGTCGGGCCAATGAACGATATTAGCGTCGGGAGCTATACCAAGCACACAAAATAACAATTAGGAATCAAAATGTCAGGTAATAGTTGAAATTGGCAAAATCTTGCTAACTTACCGATGTACTTCGCAAATGACGGCTGGATTTCCAGCAGACCGTCAAACAGATCTCGCGCATCGAGCGAGGTCAGCCTGTTGGCTTGTAAACGCTTGGAGACTGACTCCACATCCTCCAGGCTGGCGAGTAGCGCGGCAAGCTTCCGATGCGCTGTCCGCGATGGCGGATAGTCAGCAAGCTCGTCATCGTCGGCGGATATAAACTCTCGAATGTGAAAGTACCGTTTCAGCATCGAAAAAGTCGATGACCAACGCGTATCTTGTCGTAAAACCGCCCGGAGTGGTGTTCTGGTGCTATTTTTGTAAATTTACAAAACGTTTACACATACATTAGTAGAACGGCATAAAGGCCTCATATAGTCAGATTCTCAACATACCGTAATTTCGCCGCTTGCTTAAGAGTGCAGAGTTTACGCATAAGCTGCGGTACCCCCTCGACGTCGTCCTCGCTAGGCTCCAAGAAGTCCCGCACGGCAAGGTTTAGTCGGTGACTTGAGCAACCGACAAGCGGCTCACCAAGCAAATCGGACAACCGTTTGTTTAACGAGCAGTTGTCACCGACTAAAAATAGACAACCGGACACTGACTTACCAAAGAAAGGCAGAAATCGCTTGATTGCCGTGAGATGGCCCTCAGCATTTAGTTGGTCGTCGGGCTCGTCCATCACAGGGGCCAGCGCCAAAAGCGGGGCTGCAAGCCCGCCGAGGTTTCGTAGCATGCATAGACCGCCAAATAGTGTTCCGTACCGTGGGTTCAACCGTCGAGAACGAGACCGAAGTTATCAGACATCTCGTCCCCTATAGCCTTCTCCACTGCCTTCATCACAGCCTCCATGATAGCTGTCAGTGCCTCCTCAGAGATGGGGTTAAGGTTTGTATACCTACGTAATAAAAAAATCAATTAGATTTCAAATACAAATGTTAAAGTAAAATACCAAAATACTTACCGTCGGGTCTCATTCGACTCGCAAAATGAGAACGGCAGGTTGCCCATGATGACCCACCTCACCCAGGCATAACGGTTGGATGCCTTTTGGCTCACCCACAGAATTAGTGTTCCCGTCGAGGCCACAGTCGCGTCACGCATGGCGCTGTCGAAGTCCGGGTGCGCTGTCCGACATGCGATACCAGGTTAGAGTAACCCGTCTTCGGTGTGAACTTGCGACATCTCCCACAAGACTTGCACGTATACACACCCGTTGGCAAACCTTCTTCATCCGCGCAGGGCGAGAAGAAGAAGGTGGCGATTTGCCTGGGCGAGAAGGTGGGCCTTGTGGGCGGCGCAGAGAGCAGGTTGTCGGTCACCGTGGCGACTGGGAGGATGGGAGATGTTGGGAGGTTGGTAGCAAGTTTGAAAATGCGACAGCGAGCTTTCAGTAAGGAATAAACGCGATGAATGGTCAGAAGGTCCCTGGGTTTGGATGGACGAGGGCAAATAAGTTATTGATTTTTTAGAGTGCTGAACATAAATATCGGGTACACCTGCGACTTCTTCCTAAAATAAATTTTTGGTGCACAAGATATGAATACTTTTCCGAGATTATTTATTTTTCGGGATGCCTGG